CTCTCTCCTGCTTGAATCACATCGTCTACGTGGAGCATCCCTGGCTGTCTGCTGTCAGTCAAAATCACCATTCGCAAGTCTGGCAACCTGTCAGAGCAGAGACAGGATCTGTATATTACATTCCAGAAAAACTTCAACTGTGAACCGTGTCCATTGTGAAGAATTTATTGAACCCTATGAGCTCTGCAGAGGAGGTTATGTTATCGAATGGGTTTTTTTGTTAGTCAACAGGATTACAGAAAAACTACTGGAGGGGTGATCACGAAACTTAGCAGAATGATGCGTTATAGATTTTAGATCAAGACGTTTTTCACCCTTTCTTTAACATTGTGTATTTTTCGAGAACTTTCAAAAACAATTCTCCCAAAAAATTGATCTTGTGAATTTAAATGTAGTTCCATAAGCTGGGCCTTGGTGGAGGTATGCACGCTACTGAGTGCTGTTCTAGTTCCAAAAGCTGAAATTAGATGAAGAGCATGTGTCTTAAGAAGATCTTCAAAAAAATCTGTCATGCCTGGAGCTTTTGATTATACCGGCTGATGTCAAGTCGATCTCTGGGCAGATCTCCCTCAGCATCTCACAGAACTTCTGGGTTTTAAAGTGAGTGGGGCAGATCACTGCCTTACACTGGACCTGGGCACAACATATTCATTCTGTGACATTTATATGTCAAAGGAATTTGTTCACATGAAAGTAGAAAATGTACCAATGTTTGCATTTTAGTGTCGTTACAGTAAGTGAGCTATGTGGTCTTGCAATAAGGCTCATGCCCGGACAAGCTTTACCTTCTTTAGAGTAAACTCCACTTCCTTCACCTGATAGGCTGGGTTCAATGACACCTGCAAGGACAGTTTAAAGTCAGCTCCTCACCACACAGTTCTCAAAGGCCTTCTCATAACACATAACTTTACATCATGTTGTGTATAGGGGTTCATACTGGGAAACATAAACAAACAACTACAGAACGGCTCCATGTGATGTGTTCAGTGTTCTGCTCACTCTGCAGATTGAAAGACAAAACTGACCAGTATGATTCCAGCCTTGGCTGAAGCGAACTGGAAAAGGATCCATTCATATGTGTTGGGTCCCCAAACTCCCAGTCGGTCGCCTCGCTTCATGCCCAAAGCGAGGAGACCTGCAGCCGCCTTGTCAACCTGCACCAGGTTAAAAAAAAAATCAGTAAAACAGAATCAGAGCTGCATCGTGCAGTGTAATAAATACGTTAATAAGCCTTTTTCTTATAAAAACAGCAGAAAAGAACCTTTCTTCTTGCAAAATGAACACTGAAACAAACAGATACAAACAAGTTGCATTTATCGGTTATTAGAAAAATAGACGACCTGACATGATTGGATCATTGCAGCTATTTATCCTATTTAATCATTTGTTACACAGTTATGTTTAAATGTTGATGGGTATGATGGCTCCTGAAAGCCAAAGTTGAAGGCTCAAGACGCACATCCTGCTGAAACTGTGCAAAGGTTTTCCGAATGCCGTCCTGCAGCAAAACCACAGCTTCACGGTCAGGCCACTTTTCCACCGTGGCGTCCAGGCTCTGGCTCACAGTCTGGGAGAGCAGAGAGATGGAGGAGGTGCCATGCACGTAGCTGCTGGTCAGAGAGGGTTTGAGAGGACGACTGTCCACATGGAGCGACCTGGCACTGCAGGGGAAAAGACACAGGAGCCAAATACTAAGCATGGGCAGTGATTAGACATGAACAATTAACTGCATCTTTTTGGATAGAATACCCACTGATTATCTTTCCTCTACATTATAGACTCTAATGAGAGGAGGACATGTTTTGACAGGGGAACACACACAACACTAATGTGCATTTCATTTCATCTATAGTCAGTATATTTATAGAATAACACAAAGTTAGTAAATATTCCCATCTTGAAGTGTTTTAGCTGTTATGTCTGGAAAAACATTTTCCCATGTTGATATCACACTTGAAATCATCGAATTGCCTGATGTTCCACGTTTCCCACCTGCACATGAACGCAGCATTCATTTGCGCAGCTGGACGTTGTGAAAAAAGTCTCAAGAATCACAAACATGCATCTGATCCGTGAGCACACATTTAACAACATGCACACAAATACAAAAGCATAGGATGTATGGCTGCACCGGAAACGTTTGTATCTGTGAGGTGGAAGTTTAACAATAGAACATAAAGTGATACTGGCCGATGATGTTGTTTTAAATGTGTTTAAATCACTTGGTGTTTGTGTGTGGATTTGAACATGCGCTTTTACGCACGACTCGTTGCGTAAATGTATAGATTATGTAACACAAACGTGTGTCCTGACTTTACCCACCAGTTGATATTTAGCATCAGTAAACATGTCACCAAACCAAACATATTTGCTAAATGTGTCGGTGGCCCAATTTGAACACTGAAGAGAATAAACTTACCATCGGAGCAAGGTCGTGCTGCATGTTTTCAGTGTCCTGCTGCGTTTGAGTGCATCCACGGATCTGAGTGTGTGAGCAGAAGACCTCAGCACCGAGTAATAGATAAATGCGGACATCGGTTCTATGACACAGTTAATTTGTGTCAGCGGGATCTAAATACTCTCAGATATATAAATGCACCAGGTTTTAAAATGAGCTGGCTCTACCTGCGTATCTGGTTGTTCAGGTTCAACTTAAACTTTAACCTTCCCTTATCCTCGCTGGCTAATGACTGACGATTTTTTACTACGTCAAGTAAATGCCTAACAGCAGTTTTTCCGCCTGTCTTGTGGAAACATGTTTGCTGCAGAAACTTCCTATGCATGTGGCTGCATAACCTAAACTTTTAAAAGTTTAAATCAAAATTGTCATCATGTCTCAATAGGTAGGAACAAATTATTTTATTTGAAAAATGCAAAAAGTCCAACATTTATTTGACATGCAAAGCATAAAATTGGTTTCCATGCTTTGCTATGGGATGTTTGGTTATCGCTATGTATCAATAATGACATATGATCGTTTTGATATTGTTTCAACCACACTTACTACCACTCAAGCATTTCTGTTTGTTAATATTGTAATAATACTTAAATTTATTTACTTAATACAGCCACCACCCTTTTAACCTGGTTTGGTCAGGTATCAGAGGCAAGAGAATAATCGCAAGGCAGGGAAATTAATTACATTTCTTTATAGAAATACAAATTCATTAAAACTACAAATACCACTCAAGGGTCAACTTCTAAAAAGTACAGGCTCCCACCCTACCCCCTAAAACACACAACAAAGCAAGGGGGTTCAAATATTGCACATCCCGGGTCCAACACTAAACTGCAAGCACAGCAAATAATGCCACTGCACATAATGGGACTCACTGCACAGCAATCAATATGGACCCAAAGTGTAAGCAGGTCAAAACCAAATGCTACCAATAGGGAGAGGCAGAGGGCCACCGTAACAACCTATATGAGATTCATCACAGACAAATAAAAAAACTATGAGAAAACATCCCACACTAAACATGAAAGTGTTTTAGGTTTTCTTATTATTTTTGCTTATCTAACTCTGGCCTAGCAACCATTGTTACATCATGTTGTTCTCAACACATTACACAATGTAAATCAGTGAGGATGTTCAACTGGAATAATTCGTTCATCGAATTCTGATGTGTGATTTACAGCTTTTTTTTCCTGTCCGGTGGAAAAAACATTTTAGCTCGAAGGACAACTTTCTCTACAGTCATCGGCTCTCTCTCATCCATGTGGAGCATCCTTGACTTTCTGCTGTCAGTCACAATCACCATGAGCAAGTCTGGCAGTGTGGCAGACCCAAGACACTCTTATATCACATCCAATTATACAATATTGTTCCACTTTTGAAGAAAGTATGGCAGAACTTAGTCATACCTGGAGCTTTTGGTCATGTCTGCTGATGTCAGGCCAATTGTCTAATTGTTTATTCCAGCCTTTGGCTGAAGTGATCTGGAAAATAATACATTCATATGTGTTGGGTCCCTAAACTCCTAGTTGGTTGCTCCAGAGCGAGGTGACCCTCAGCCACCGGTTCAACCTGCAGGTAAAAAGGTCAAACTAATATGTTATTATCTCACAAAATTAACTGAGCGCAATGATTAACTCCCACTGTTTGTCAAAGAGTGACAGACATTGAAATAGAAGACCTATGGTGTCATTAATGTGTTTAAATGTGAATGAAGATGGCTCTTAAAAGCTCAAGGCTAAAAATGTGCCACATCCTGCTGAAACTGTGCAAAGGACGTTACCTGCTGTCACCATTACCACCACTCAAGAGTTTATTATTGTTATTGGATAGATTATATGATTAAAAAGCATGTGTTCAATTGCATGTCAAAATATTTAACCACTGAATTGTGAAACATTATCTAATTTATTTTCTAAAAGGCATTGTTTTTAAAGTCAGGTATTTTAAAATACAGTAGAATTTTTACAGATTTTGATACGTATATATTGTTATGTCCGGCTCGCAAGCTACAACAAAGAAAGGAGACGCAACTCAACCATAATGAATCAATGTGTGTGGCAGAAAACTGTAACCATGGTCAAGAGTGTACAATCAAGATAAAAGATATAGAACTGCTATCAAAATCAAATGTTTTCTGAATAATTATATAAACATTTAAAATGTGCATGTGTAAGAAGGTCAGCGGTTTGATCCCAGTCTTCCCCATCTGCATGCCAAAGTATCTAAAGGCATAATATTGAACACTGAGTTGCTCTCTCATAGAAAACGCTTGTGTGTGTGAATGGGTGAATGAAAATAAATTGTATTGTAAAACAAAAATGCACAACTCTCCATTGTCAGACTTCTTTCTTTCTCAGCAGGTCCCTTCAATGTCCATCATTCCAAAAATTAAAGGCCCAGTTTCTTCTCCATATCCTCCTTTAATATGTTCTTCTTGATCTAGAAAAAACACAAAGCAGCAGCCATCTCAGTTTAGTTTGAATGAATCCATCATATTGATGGTTTAGACCACAGACTGTATATAAAGGTGAACAACCGGCCTCCATATTCTCCCATTATCCAGCGATGAAGCCAAAATATCCCACATATGAACGCTGCCATATTGTGCTGAGCATATGTTTGGTAGTCTGTTGAGTAGCAAGGACCCAGTGATACATGCACTTGACCAATTGAGCGTCAGTCTCAGCTGTCAATCACACACCAGTTTTATAGCATCAACTAAGTAATCAAAACCAAGTTTACTAGAAAAAAAATTAACACTTGAGATAACATCAGTGTGATCAAAATTTGTTAAAATGCCAAAATTGTTTGACGTGTACTTTGACTTTTTGATTTGATCCCTGTACTTTTTATTGACACGGAATGGTCGGAGTTTATGGCCTATACTGCAGCCAGCCACTATGGGGCACTGAAGATGCTTTGGACACTTTTGGCTAGCTGTCATGTCGTCCATCTTTTTATCCAGTCCATGGTTTAAACATGTTACTTATTGAAGTTACCTTTCCAGAGGCAGTCAGGGGGTAGCTGTCTACAAAGATCACGTAATGTGGAATTTTGAAGTGAGAAATCTAGAAAAACAGAAAACACACATCAGACCACACAGTGTACAACTGTGTCCAGACACATGTTGGTTTTATTTATCACCTGTCCTTTGCAGAACGCTCTAATCTCCTCTGGGCTGCAGGTCTGACCTTCCTTCAGCCTGATGCAGGCGCACACCTGCTCACCCAACCTCTCATCTTTCACTCCAACCACCTCAGAAACAGAAACAGAACACATGTTGAATTTCCACCACATTAATGTGACTTCTCTGTGGATTTAATGTCACCTATTTACAGATACTTTGCTGCCCTCCACTGGTTGTGACTCTTACCTGCACTTCSTGCACTTGGTGATGTGTGTAGAGTAGTTGTTCTATCTCAGCAGGGTAGATGTTCTCCCCTCCACGGATGATCAGGTCCTTAATACGTCCCTCAATCTGGCAGTATCCCAGACTAGTCAGGCTAGCTGTGTCACTGCRRAATTTGCATGTATGATAAGCCAATAACATCTCATACATCTGTAACCGTTCTTTCATCAGTCAACATTCATCTTACCCGGTCCTGTACCAGCGATCTTGGGAGATCACCTCTCTGGTTTTTTCATGGTCGTCCCAGTACCCAAGCATGACACAGCTGCCTCGGATCAGCAGCTCTCCCGGTGCCCCCAGAGGGACGATCTGCCCTGAGGTGGGGTCCACCACTTTTGCCTGGAGTTACAGTCCTATTGTAAGTCATCAAGGAGATGTGTTGATAAAGGTTGCAGAGATAGACAAGGTGCATACCTCAGTGTGGTGCATGATACAGCCGGATGTATTTTCCTGCAGCTCATCGTTGTCTTGTGGAAATAACAGAAATGTGACGGGGCTGTTCTCAGTGGTTCCGTAGGCCGTCTGACAAAACACGACAGATACATGTTATTCAACGATAAGGACGTAACTTTTAATTTGGGTTTGCTTTATTTGATAAGATATCTGGACACTCACAATTATCTGTTTCACGTTCATGTCTTTTTTCAGTTTTCTCACAATCTCAGGGGGGCACGGAGAACCTCCCAAGAACCCTGGAGCACAACAAACAGACAAGGACACCTCAAATGATGGCTGAATATCACACCAAAGTCAATATGACATAGTTTTAACCTTGGAACTTCTCACCAACTTCAAGCGATGACAAATCATACTTATACAAATTTGGTTGGTTGAGCAAGTCGATGAACATTGTGGGAGTGCCATAGATGAAATTGCACCTTTAAGTAACAATATATAGGCGCAGTCAGTGAAGGTGTTTATTATACATTTTAACGTAGTTGTGGTACCAAAACTCTGTTGTACCTTTCACTCTGAATGGCCTCTAAATTGTCCTGGGCATTGTAGGCTGACCCAGGGAAGACAAGTGTGATGCCGTGCACTGCCATATTCATCCCTCCGAGCACAGAGCCAAAGCAGTGGTACAAGGGCACAGGCACACAAATTCGCACCAGAGGCTGATTAAAGTACGGAAGACAAGATTTTACTGATTGCATTTTCTTCAAAACAAAAGACAAATATGGACTTACTCTTGATGCGTAACCCATTCGCAGACCCATAAAGTAGGCATTATTTACGATATTGTGATGGGAAAGAACAGCAGCCTTTGGACTTCCGGTGGTGCCCTAAAACAAAAACAAGACTTAGTTTGAATGTTGGTTGTCAGAAACTCTCAACTATGCACTGACCTCTAGTGGATTTATTGATTAACAACCATGCCAGTGTAAAAGGAGCATTGAAATAAGTGGAGAGTGAGGTTTCAAACAGACACATCTCTTTTCATATGAAAAAACTGCATAAATGAACCTTAACTTGTGGTTAGTGTTATTTTAATGCATTTGAAAAGTTGTTGAAAATGTTGTATGATACGCAGGCTGTGTTGTTTTTTTTCTGGATGCTGTGGTTATACTCCTGAAAGTCGAATCCGCTCACATTGTCACATTCTCTGTTAATCTTTATTTTTAACTGAAGCTTTAATACTAATAATCTAAATGAATATATTTACTGACATATGCATCTCTTCTAGGCCACAATTTACTAGTGGCTACTTCCAGTGTGATAATTTATTATGTTACAAAGCAAAAGTTGTGTTAAAATGGTTTCATGAACAGAACAACAAGTACAGTTGTTCAG